GGATCAAGGAACCTGATTTCTGGGCCACTTCTTCCACCAGCCACCACATTGCCAAGTTCCTCACCCCTCCATGGGCCTCAGTTTCCTCACCTGTAAGATGGCAGAGGAGAGGAGAGGTGGGGTTGAGCTAGACCTTGTGCATGATCTTTTCTAGTTCTCTCTTCCTTGATTCTGCTCCCCAGGCAGGTGCTGGGCAGGTTTTGACCTCTTCTGGAAAAGGTTAGTGAACAGGTGCACTGGAGAAAAACCAGCAAATTTGGCAGGAAAATACGCCTGTGACGGGCATGTGGGCTTGCACCTTATGAATCCCCAGGCAGCTGCACCTGCCCACACCTGCATCAACACACTTAATCAACAACAAGCAAAGCAAGGCCAGAGGGGAAGTGATCTCCCTGAAAGGTTTGGCATGAAGTTAGCTGATAAACTTCAGAAGGATGGGGAAGAGAAGAAAGGAGTTTGAAGAGAATTCTGGAAATGTTCCATTCAACTTAAGGCAAAACTAAGTAAATAAATAAATAATTTTAAAAATGAGAGAATTCTCAAAATGGCTCTGATTCGGGCTGTTTTATAGTTAGAGGTTGGAGGGTGCTATGGTCTGAATGTGTCCCCCAAAATTCATATGTTGAGACTTAATCTCTAATTTGATGGCATTAAGAGGTGGAGTCCTCACAGATGCCAGTAGGGCTATTATAAAAGGGCTTGAGGGAGGGGGTTCACTCTCTTCTGCTCCTCTGCCATGTGAGGACACAGCAACAAGGCATGATCTTGGAAGGAGAGAGCAGCCCCCACCAAACACTGAATGCCAGTGCCTTGATCTTTGATTTCTATACTTCAGAACTGTGAGAAATGTATTTCCGTTGTTTGTAAATTACCCACTCTGTGGTATTTTGTTATAGCAGGAGGAACAAACTAAGACAGAGGGTGATGATTTCTTTTGCTTGGCATCCCATACTCCCTCCTCTTGCCCATTGAAAGAAACCCTCCAAACGTGGCCAGCTGTGCTCTCAGTAAGCTGTTTAGTTGGCCAAGAGAACCATTTGCTTTAGAGGGAAGGACAGTTCAACTTTGTGGTAAATTCTGACCCAGAAAATTCAAGACCCAACACGCCCAGTGCTGGGGCAGGGTTACTGCTGAGGTTTCCAGCCACTCACCCCCAGGCCCTGCACCTCAGTCTCACATCCAGGTCACTGCAGGTCACCAGGACCCATGTTACCACCAGCATCTTTTGTCAATTGTCTCCAAGAGTTGGGTCACGTGGAATGGAACAAAAGGAGCCCCTGCATTCTTCCTCCAAGGTCCTCACATTCTAAAACTGTCCTGATATTTTCTTAGGGAAAAATAAAGGGAATTTTAAAATTAAGTATGTGAATTTTATGGTATTGTTACATTTAAATAATTCTATTTTGTAACAAATAGAATATTCAGTTATTGAAAGACCCTAGCTCTTTTTATGTGTCATTAGTTAATTAAGGGTTTTCTCTCTGATCCTCTGTTCCTTTCCTTCCCATGCTTATAATCCTCTGGCTTCTTCTGGTAACCCCCAGGGACAGCCATGGGGACTGCTCAAACCATTAATGGGAGATTTGAGATCGGGCAGCTTGAAAGCCTCCAGTGAAAAGTTCTGAACACCATCCTTTGAGGGAAGTGGACTAATTGTCATTTTATGCAGCGGAGAGATTCTCTTTCTCCCTGGAGCCTCACAGGAGCCACGGTTGAGTGGTTTGTCTCTTAAATGTGTTTGAACCCAGAAGCTGCTATTTCCGAGAGGCCTTGTACCAAACACACTGGGCTCCCTGACTCACACCTCTTGCCCTCACCCTGATCTCAGGCATGGCTGGGGTGGGCCAGTTCCTCTGGGCCTCAACTCATTGCCTGTGGACAGCATCTTCCTCTGTGGCTGGAAGTGGGGCCTCATGACCCCAGGGCAACCCTTCCTGGATGAGAGATGAGGACCCACGGATAAATGCTCCACCTGCCATCCTTAGAAGGGACACAACACTTCTCTTGGGAGATTCCAGGGACAGAGACTTGCTGCAGTGCAAGGCTCCCTCTGGCGTGTCCCCACAGTGGCTATCCCTGCCTCCCTATTCACTCTCACCACTCACACCCTGCTCCTTGCCTCAGCCTCTGCCTCCAAGAGAAACCAAACCAAGACAGAATTGCCAGAGTAGAGAACCAGGCTGATAGAGTCCTGCCTGTCCTTTGTTATGGAGGTGACTGAGAGACAGACTCACACTCAAATCCCAGCCTTGGCGCTTCTGATTGTAGATGCAGGGACAAATTAACTTATCTGCAGTCGGTTGCAATCAGAAAACATCAAATGCTCATAAAATGCTCAGCAAAGGGAGTCACTTGCTCTCTGAGATTCGTAAGAATGTTCCCTGCATATGAGACAGCACTTTTAGCTTTTAGGGGCTAAAGGGACAGAAACTCTAACCTTAAGTCTAGGGCACACAAAACAGCCCAGCCCTGCACAGCTCCTGCACCTGCCTCAACATGGTGTCCCTGCCCAGCAAAGAGGAAGTGCAAGGGCACACTTGTGGCCTGTGGCCTTCATTCTGAACCTAAGTCATGACCACTCCTTTCTTCATTTCCATCTTATTCCCAATCCTTCATTCATTCCATCAATCAACCAATGCTCACCCCACTGTAATATTAGCCAAGGGGGCTATTTGCTTTAGAAGGAAGGATGGCTTATCTTCTTGGTCAAAGCTGACCCAGGATGTTGACTGATGAAGTCAGCAGTGAATAAACACAGCCTTGGGCGTGGACTCCCCATTTTGTCCGGACCTTACCCCACAGAACTGAGTCTCATGAAACCTCACATCCTGGTCTTCAACCCAGCTACACTGCCTTGGGCCACCTGGGGACCACCCCTCCTGCTCCAGTGCAGCATCAAGACCCTGATCCTGGCACTGCCTCCAAGATCCCTCCTGCCAGGTGAGCCCAGCCCAAAAGGGGAAGCTGGGCAGGGACAGTCAGGGATATCCAGTGCACAGGTGAGGACCTTCCACCACAGTGGTTTAGGAAAAAAAAAACAACCCAGGTGAGGGTCTGGAGCTGGCACCATGTTATACTCCCATTGGGGGCCACAACATCCAAACGAGCTTGGATAACCTGCTGGGGGTGGTGGTCACAAGATGGGGAACCCCCAGGCTGAAATGCCATCACTCCAGTTTCCATAATCCTAATTGGAGGTCATGCCTGCATTGAATCCTCATTGCCTGGAGACTTTTTCCAGATCTTTCTTAAGAGATCAGAAATGAGCATGGTTAACTTGAAATGTACAAATAGGCCACAAAGTGCTGTCAAAACAGAGAGTCTGATGTTCAGAGCCTGCACCGGTGCAGATCCGGAGGGTCTGCACCACCCCACACCTGCACAACTGCAAACTCACCAGTCCCACTCTTGACCTTTTGTCACTAATACCACCTATTTCCTCCTCCTTTCCAGCACACAGTGGCTGAGCCAGCAGAGCCCTCTGACCTGCCAGGCTTGGTTGTTTTCTTTTTTATTTTTCACTTATTAGCCTACTTGAAAGAGCCTCAAGTAGGCTCTTTGCCCAAGGGCTAGTAGGAACCATGTAAATACCAGGGAAGCACACATGTGCAATTTCCACAACCCACAGCCTCTGAGGGTGGAAACTTGGCCGGGAAAGACTATGGGGGAAAGAAATAGGGTGGCTCAAACGGTCCCAGCTGTCATCCTCACCCAAACCCATCAGGCCTTGAGACCCAGTGCTCTGTCCACGCGTGAGGCCTTGAGGGCAGCCTAAAGGGCACAGCAACACAGAGGAGCCGGGTCAGAGCACAAAGGCCCTTCTCTGCCCAACTCCCCTCCCAGCCAGGGGTGCTCCTCACCCCACAGGGCTCTGGGCAGCTTGGGCCCAGGACATGTTTTTCAACAGAGGAAGAGGGCAAGAGTCATAGGTTGAGTGCAACCCCCCAAATCCCCCAAGACCCCACCACACCCTTTATCTTTTTTCTTCTGTATCTACTGACACACCATATATTTTTAAATATGTTTGTTATTTAGTATAGTCTCTCCCCACTAGAATGTAAGCTCTGCAGCGCAAATATCTTTGTTTTGTTCACTGCTATTCCCCAAATTCCTGGAACAGTGCCTGGTATGGAGAGGTACTCAATAAATGTATGGTACTCAATAAATGTATGGCGTAAATGAATACATTCTGCCTCATTTATCGATGAGTGTTTTACCTGCTGTTTTCCCACCACATGGAAGGAACTTGAGAGAGGTTAGATCTAATTTATATTTGTATTCTCCAGCGTGGCTGGCACAATGCCTAGCTCATAGCAGGGGCAATAAATGGTCTAGTAATGGAATTATTCTCACGAGGACCCATTCTCGGGAGGTCTGGAGGGGAGGCGCTGGTGAGGGGCTTCAGTGAGACAAAGGCCAGTAGTCACGTCGGAAGCCTTGTCTCAGTTCCTCCCTCTGCACTAGTCAGGACAAAACAGGCAGATGACAAGAAAGGTCTCCACAGGACATGGATGACTCGAAGGCCACTGTTTCTCAACTGGGCGTTGGACATGGACACACAGAAGAACGGTGGCCCCGAATGTGACTCAGGACAATTAACAAGGCCTTTTCTAAAGGAGCTGCACCATGGCCTATCCCGGGAAAGGAACTTCAGCACTGACTACTCACTTCTCCCTGGAATTATACAAAAGATTTGCTGTAACTATTTTTTCTTCAAGTTCTCAAAGACCTGTGTGGCTCAGGAAAAAAAAAAAAAAAAATTAAGAAGTACGATCCTAGAGAACCCCCCAAAAGAAGCCAGAACATCCCACCACTTCCCCCAGAGCCTCGTTCAGCCTCCAGCAGGCCCAGCTCAGAGGACAGAGCACGCACAAAGCCTGCCGTAAAGCAGCACACTCGCGCCGCACCACGACGGTTTGCGACAGCTCTGAGCCGCAAAGTGGCCGGAGAGCCATGCTGCCCATTGGTCCGACCCTTGACAGAAACTTCCAGACTTGAGGATAAATTTGAGTTTATTTTAGGAAAGAAATGTTTAAGGCACAAATTACAGAGAGAAGGAGCTAGAATCTTTGAGGTGCCTGAGCCTCTTCTCCTTTCCCTTAAGGTTCCTTCAAAGCACCAGGCCCATAAAATCCTTAAGCTCCACAGCCCACACCGAGAGCCCCACACGCTGCTTGGATCAGCTGAATCTATAATAGTCATGCCGAGGAGTCCTGAAGATGCAATCACTGAAGGGTTTTTCTTCTTTCTCAAGCCTAGCACAAGCAAGCCCCCAGATTGCTAGTCAGGCAGAGCTGCAGACTCTGACTCCACACCCAAATGATCTCCAAGCTTCTGGGCCCAGAGCCACAACTGCACTGCCATCCCCACCCACTCAGAGACGACAGGAGAAGCCGGACACCGCGATGTTCTCCCCAGTGATGTAGCTGGCATCTGGAGAGCACAGGAAGGACACGAGTCCTGCACAGTCCTCAGGCTGCCCAATCCTGGGTGGGAGAGGGCACAGCGTCAGTCTTCTTATACTCTGGTTCTGCTGCTCTGGGGCTCACAGGCCACAAGTGGGAGTGGGTTCCATGGCAGTGGGGAGGGTGGACACAGGCGGCTACTTGCACCTCCAAGGCCATGTGGACCCCAGACATTAGCAGAAAGAATGGCCAGTATACAAAGAGGGGCCTGCTTTTGAGACAGACACAGCCACCCTCCCCAGCTGTACTCAGACCACCAAAGCTGCAAACCCCACTTGCCTCTGCAGCCCCACGTTTTCCTTCAAGTTTTTGAAGAAAGCCTTGTTCTTGCATAACTGGGCAAAGGGAAGAGATGAAAGGGTCAGTGCTTCCAAAATAAAGAGATTGGGGCAGAGCCCCAAGGTGACCACCTGGCAGAACACCCAGGACAGGTTTGCCCTTCTCAGGAGAAGCAGCATCTTCTCGGGGTGGGTGGACTGGACCATGGCTGACTGGTGGGTGGACTGACCATGGGTGGACTGACCATGACTGGACCTTACTGTCAGAAGACAGTAAGGACCTCAGCCATAAGCATGCTGACCTGAAGCCCCAGTCACCTCTTCATCCCTTAGTCACTAGGGAGGGGGGACACACCCCAGTCCTCACCACTTTGCTGAAGTCAGTATCGATAAATCCTGGAACCAAGCAGTTCACCCGGATGTCCCTGGGGGCCAGCTCCAATGCCAGCGTCCTAGTGAGACCCAGCAGGGCTGTTTTGCTTACGTTGTAGGCACCCAGTTCCTGGGAAGGGATGGAGACAGTGACTGGATGTGGGTGTGGGTGGAAGCATGAGATAGGTTTCTCACCTGCAGGGGGCCCCTCCTGTCCAAGCCCAGAGCCCAGAAGCACTCTCCCCAGCCATGTCTGAGAAGAGGAGCTGGATATGAGGGACACAGCAGCCACATGGGGACAAACTCAGCCCAGGGCATCAGAAGTAAGGTGGGGCTCTGTCATGGGCAATGTCCCTGTGGGGCTCTGGGGAACACAGCACAGTTGCCCCTGACCACCTGGGAACACAAGGACCAAGCACTTACCACCTGTGGCATATAAGCTGCAATGGAAGAGACCAGGATGACAGCACCCCTCCTGAGAGGCGACAGACAGACGCAGAGGAGAGATGACGCTAACAGCTTACTACCAATGGAGGTGCTGCAACGCAGCTGTTAAATACTGCAACCCTCACAACAGCAACACAGGTCCTATTATCCCCATTTCACAGCTAAGGAAACTGAGGCTCAGAGAGGTTTGGTAGCAGCCACTAAGTGGCAGAGCTGTGGTTGCAGCCCTATTTCTCATAAATAGGATGTCCATGCTCATAACCTTTACACTGCCCTTCCTTTCTAGCTGGGTTCATGAAGAAGAGGGGAGGGTGGACTTGGTGAAGAGACACTAGGGGCTAGTGGTGGATGCCCCTTGGTGGGAAGCCTCTAAGGAGGAGATGGGCAGAGGAGACAGAAGTGATGGTCAGGAACCTTCCTTCTGCCTGAGACAGCCCCCAGCCAGTCCCTAAGGGGTATGTCTGTAAGGAGCACAGTTAGATTTGCAGGATGTGGAACAGAGGCAGGGTCCCTGGAGACCAAGGTGCAGGAAATGAGGAGGAGTCTGGGATGGGCTTCTTCCTATGGGGCAAACTGCATTATGGCTTTAAGATGGTGAGACCAGAGTAGGGGAGGTGACAATGACCAGGCCACAAGCTTAAGGAGCTAAAGCACACCCTTGGCCCAAACCTGGTGATGTCAAGGCCAAGGAGAGCACGCGTGGGCCTCTGGAACATCACCCTCCTCCAGCAGCCACCGGAATTAGAAACAGTAGCCACACAAAGTGTGAGGCAACACAGAGGGAGATGGGGGGATGTGAAGCACCCAGAGAGACTCCTTCTGTCTCCACCCCTCTGTCTGTGCCCAGCTCTACGCCTGTATCCCAGGCCCCCCAACTCCCACAGTCCCCACCCCCACGCTGTGGCACCTGTTCTCCATGTGGGGCAGCAGCAGGCTCAGCAGCAGGGCTGGGGCCTTCACATTCACGCCCAGGATCTGAAACCAAAGCAGAGGCACCAGGGAGGGAGGAGAGACATGGTCAACCCAGGGCCTCTTCTCCTAAGATGCATGGAGTCCTAGAATTCATGCAGCAGACTCAAATGTGTGCACCTTGAGAACTAATCCTCCTTCTGACTGGGGCAAAAGGTGTTTCCAAATTGCTAACGGCTTCATAGGCAGGCAGGCTAAGTGACAGGCCTGTGAGCAGAGCCCTGAAAATGTGAATTGTTCAGGACAGGGAGGAAGGAAGGAAATATCCAGACCTTTTAAAGAAATCAGTCTGTGCTTTGCTTGTGCAGAAAGAAGCTGTAAGTAGAGGCCTCTGGAAAAAGACTAAAGGTAGAGCAGACGGAGGGGGAGCAGGTGCTGTAAGCAAGGGAGATTTCTAGAAGAGTCACCTTTGTCTCTCTCTGCTTTCACTTGTTTATGCTCTTGCCTCGTCCCAGTAGAATTTAAGGCATACTCACAATGCATCAGGATAAAGCAAGTCAAACATGTATTATGTGTGAAGAAATGAGAATAGGAAAGGTAGGTGTTGAAAAATAAGGAAAAGCAAGAGTGATTTTGGTGCCCACAGTTCACAGCGCGTGGTAAGGACTGAGCACTATTCTATTATTTGTTCACAAAAACGTGGGCTGTGAGCCCCCCCCCACACACACACACACCAGTTTATTGCAGGCTTGGCTCTGAGCTCTTCCACAGCCAGTACAAAGAGGGAGACACAACAGAGAACTGCCATTCTGGGAGTGAGGTGCCTCTGCTGCCCAAGACTAAAGTCTAGATCTGGGCTCAGCCACACTGATCTCGACACTCTGTCTGGTGGGCATGGGGATAGGGGAGAAGTAAGAAAGGAGCTGGCAAGGAAAGACGCAGAGACTGAGCCCAGGAGCTAGGGCAGAGTGCCAGGCAGGACTCACGGGGCACCAGGGACCCCTCCCGTGGGACACTGTCTTGATAGAAATCCACTGTGTCCTGCGTCTCTAGGGAATGAGGCTACATATCTCTTACCAAACAGGACTGTCAACTGTTTCTCCCACTCCTTCATCCCATGCCCACTCAGTACCTTGGATGAGGGCAAAGGGAAGGGTTCAACTGTGTGCTACAGCCCATTTGATGGCAGGTTACCAGTGTTGGGAATGACCCTCATGACATCAAGAAGTGGCTCAGATGTCTGAAGCAGGGGCCACCATGAGGTCACCAATAAGAAGGAATTGAGGGTTAGGCTAGCCCTAAGGGCTTCCTGGCCAAAATAGAGCCCCACCGACCTACAGGTTGTCTGTCCAAAGCTTCATGTGCATCAGGCTGAGTGATGGGCTGAGACAAGACCCCTCTGAGACTCAGGAACCAAACCTGAGCCGAGGGAAAGGTGAGACTCCCTCCCTTGCTGAAGGAAACTACTCCATTAGAAAAGAAGGGATAGCATTTCTACATGCCAAGAAGTCCTGAGTACAGGACACTCTTTGAGCCTGAAAGAAGGTGCATGGATAAGGAAGAAGGTGGAGGAGATGGTTGTGGTGGTAAATTAGAGATTTCCCAACCAGCTGGAGAGAATGGACATCCACCTGGGGAAGGCCTCAAAACTTGCCCAAGAGTAACATGAGTGGTAAGGAATTCTCCTCACAGGACACCTACTGAAAATTGCGTTCAGCTAAAAGCAGACCATCTAGTAAATTCTAAACTCATTTTGTGACAATTTCACCTCCAAGGTGGTGACAGATGTGATTGGGGCACAAGCCATCAAGGATTTCTGCCCAGCGGTGCAGAATTGCTCACTGAATGCGGAGTCCTTGGAGAACAGGGGGGCATTGGAGAAAGTGAGGTCGAGTTGTCAGCGTGTGCCCCCAGCCTCAGGAGGGAAGATTGCAAACAGTTTCGAGAAAAAGAGTCATGATCCCATGAACCGAGACACTTAAAAGGAAAATGACTCAGGGGGGTTAGGAGACTGTCGGCAATAAAATCTCAGCTATAAAATCACAGATGATGCTTTGGAGGCATTAAGAGGGTAGCTAAAGAGCCTGGGGAGGCTGCTGAGCAGTGGATGCAGGGAGCTCACATTTCAGGTCATCTCCGAGGATGGAGCGAAGGGCACCCAGCCAAGGGCAGGCAGGAAGGAGGGCGGCCTGGAGACGACTCCGGCAAATGAGAGCCCAGAAGCTGGGGAGGGCAGGATGCACTGAGACTGGGGGGCAGGAAACACTTTGGCCAGTGCTTAGGGCAGAGGGGAGAATGCTAACGACAGCAGAATGAAAAAGACTGTCAGAGCGAATACGGAACAAAACATGGGAAGGAACGGAAGTCATAGGAGGACAACGAAGCCCCAAGATGGACTTCAAGGCATTTTACAAGATCTCTCCTGGACTCTTGTGGACAAGATGGTAGAATCGCCAAGTGGACTGCAGAGGGCTGGCGTGTCTGAGCCCGTGGAATGCTGATGGCTGGATCTGGCCCTGACAGCAGGTTCACCCAAGGCACAGTGAGGAGCCCTAATCTAGGGAAGGTAGAGTCTCAGCAGCAGGTCCAGGTCCCCAAAGAGGAGCACAACTACCAATATATGCCCCCACAAAAGGGTGTAAAAAATAGAAATTCTTGACTCTTATAGAGAGACTCTTACTGTATGTTCACAGCTGTGCCTGGCACAGAGCAGCAAATATTTGCTGAATGAATATTGCTGAATGAATAAATGCAAAAGAGAGGGGAAGAGAAAAAAAAAAAGCAGAAAGAATGTAGGAGCCAGATCTAAAAACCAACAAGCTGGAAAGTAGCATCAGGACACATTCTAGGGAACAAGTGGGCAGGCCTTCCGTCCTGGGCTTGCCTCCACAGTCACGTCTGGAGGGGAGGTGACAGTCTTAGTGGGGATGGGCGTGCTTGAGCCTAGCGCAGGGCTACCATTTCCCCTCAGCCGCCTCCCTGGGGTGGCCACTCACCTTGTCCCAGACCTGCTCACTGGCCCCCAGAGTGCTCCCCACCAGAGGGTTGACGCCTGCATTGCATACCAGGAAGTCGACACTCCCAGAGTGCTCCAGGGCCTGCAGGGAGAGGGGCTTGGGTGAGTGGGGAGATGGCCTGAGGAGGCCTCATCCTCCCAGAGCAGCCCCGGTGCGTAGGGCATTCAGGCAAAGCTTGCAGGTCAGATGCCGCCTCAGCCAGGAATGGTTACAAGGCTTCTGTGGAAACCAAACTCTCGTGAAGGAAAGTGTCCTGGCTGGCCCACGGGGAGGAAGATCTCCTCCAGCAATCCCTCTGGGGGCTTCCCCATCCCCTTAGACTCCTCCTCAACCATGGTTCTCCCAGGTGTAGGGTAGGGATGGATGTTCTCTCATGAACAGGCTACTTTCCAGAGGGCCCTTGGGAACAGTGAGGTTTCCTCTATCAGCCTGGCAGCAGTCATGGTCTCAGGATGTGTCCTAGACACCACATCCCCATCCTTGTCCCTGCCCCTCCCAGGGTTGAGCAGTGAAGGAAACGTTCTGCAAGTTCTGTCTGTGTCCTTCCACCCTCACCGTGGCCACCAGCCGCTCCCGGTCCTCTGCCTTCCCGACGTGGCACACGGTGCCCGTCACACTCAGCCCCTCCCCCTGCAGCATGGCAACGGCCCGATCCACGTTCTGCTGCTTCCGGCTGCTGACCACCACGTGGGCCCCGTCCTGGGCCAGGCGCCGGGCGATGGCCAAGCCGATCCTGTAGGCAGCAATGCAGAGGTCAGCCTCAGCCCCGCCACTATTCTTCCTCTACCCAGCCCTGGAAATCAACAAAGTAGACTGGGTCTTGCTCTACAGCACTGAGTCGTGTGGAAGCCCAGGTCCCATTGACGGGTCAGGGCCATGGGGCAATCAGGGCACTCACCCGTTAGTGGACCCGGTGATCACGGCTACCTGGTTGGCCAGGACACCCTTCTCAGCTATCCCACTGCTGGTCATCCTCACCGAGAGCCCAGTGCAGGGATGAAACAGGCCCCAGCGGCCCCAGGCTGCTGCTCGGAGCATGGCGGTGCCTAGGCGGCTTCCTGCTGAATCAGCCCTGGGAGAAAGGATCAATTTCACTTATCACTGATGCCATCAGTGAGCATGAAGATAATCTATCCCCCTCCCTCCCCAGATGGACAAGGCCAGCAGGAGAGAGTGGCAGAGCGTCAGGCTGTCAGGGTGAATTTTGAACATCTGAGCCTCAGGTCAGGAAACCAATCCATGAAAACATCCCAATTATAAAACTGGGGAAATTACTCACAAATTAAAAATGCGAGACCCAACATTCAGTAGACAAGGCTTATTTTTTCATTCATTCCATAAACAAGCACTGAGCACCTGCAATGTGTCAGGCGCTGGGCAGGAGATGCCAGGACACCTTGGTGAACCACAGACCAGCCCTGGACCCCCACCATGGAGCTCCCCAGTCAAGTGAGGATGCCAGGCACCCACAAATAATTACACTGGTTATCAACTTTAATTAACTGCTTCTAAGTGAAAAGTAAAATCAACAGAAACTCTCATTCACTGCTGAATGGAGAATAAGTACAACCATTTATGCCATCCAAAGCAGTTTGGCATTGTGTGGGGAAGTGAAAATACAGAGTCCTGACTCTGCAGAGACCTCACAGCCTGCAGAAGGAAGGTCATATGTGCACCAAGAGACAGTACACACGTGTTCACAGCAGCATTCTTTGTCATAGTATGCTCCAAACTAGAAACAAGTCCACATGCCCAATAATGGTGTAATGGATAAAGTGTGTTGCATTTATATAGTGGAATACTATAGAATAATAAACATTAGTGAACTGAACCTACACTGAACAAGGTAAATGAATCTTAAAAAGTTATAGTTGAATGAAAGAAGCCAGGCATCAAAGAATACATAGTATGTGATTCTATGAGTTTCAAAAACAGACAAAAGAACTCTATGTTGTTTAAGAATGCAAAGGGGTAATAAAGTTACAGAGAAATGCAGGGCAATGATTACCATAAAAGTCAGGTGTGTGAGTATTTCTGGGGGGGAAGGGGGTTATGATTAGAGGGGGGGAAACTGAAGAGCTTCTGGGGTGCTGGCAGTGTCGTTTCATGAGCAAGTGATGGTTACGTGGTATTCATGGAGATTTTTATATATACATATATAATGTATACATATACATTTTAATGTATGTGTTATATTTCACAATGAAAGGTTTGAAAGTAAAGATTACCTGCTCCTGGTAAATTTTAAAATTCAAGCAGGTCCAAAGTAGTGCAAAAATTAAATCTCCCAATTACCTTCTCAGAAGCAATTTTGCCAGTGTCTCAAATACTTTCTCAGAGATACTCTGTGCAAGGGACTTTGTTTTAAACAGCAAGCTTTCTGATTATAAACATTCAGTTTACAAACGGTTTCCAGAGAGAATCCTAACCAGGAAGCGGAGGGTCAGGAATGAGGAGGCCGCCAAAACCAGCATAAGCCCCTTCAGGGCAGGCTTCACTTCCCCTTCTTGGGCCCAGAGCCCTGCCCAGGGCATGAAACACCCGGGGTGCTCACCAAGGTCAGTCAAATGCCCATGGGGCTGGGAAAGCCATGGCTAGGGGAGCTGCAAATAAACAGGACCTGCGAGCTTGAGGAGAGTTTTGATAGGGGCAGCAGCAGGATAGATACTCCTGTCTAGGGGGACAGACTGAGGGGCGGGTGCACGTCCAGGGTGTTTCGGAGACAGCAGGAATGCTATGAGCTTGGCAAGCAGAGGATGAGGACTCACGCCTGAGAAAGCCTACTTGGGCTCTAAATGGCTCCGCCAGGCCCGAGCTAAAGTGAAGTTCTCCAAAGGAAGGTGCATGGAGCTGGGCCAGTCAAAGCAGCCCCAGCCTGGCTGCAGTGTGCAGACATGTTCCTTCAGGAGCCCCACAGAGGGGAATGCTGTGCCCCTGCAGATATGCGCAGGTGTGAAGGCAGGATGAGGATCTGGCATGGGAGACTCAGGTATGAAGGCATTTCACCATGGACTGGAAAGATGCCAGAGATGTTTGTCCAGGAGACCCTCTTTCCCCACTCCCCAAATTCCCCAGCTCCATACAGTGTTGGCCCAGAGGCTCCTGCCTCCCCCAGTAGGCTTGCCCTCCCCTACTTTTCTAGGAATCTCCTCAGCCTCCTGCTGAGGGAAGTGAGGAGAGGTTGGAGCAAGGGGTTGGCGAGGGCAGTCAGGGACTTGGGGATATGCTTTTCATGTGGGACAGTGCCAGGAAGATGCAGCGAAGCAGGCTTTGGCAGCTCTGGGGCAAGGGGCTGACAGATGTGAACTTTCAGGAGGCTGTGTCGTTAGATGACTGTCTACAGACCTTCATCAGTTCCAGACCTGCTCTGGCCACTCCATCTCCGAGGGACTCCTGGTTACTAAGCAACCCCTGCCTTACCTACTGCATCTCCCTTCGTTCCTTAGCAACCCTTGCATAACCCAGTTCCCTGGAGTTAGGGGTCGGGAGCTATAAACTATAAGTGAATGGGTGCTGCTCAGGAATTGTGGACAAAATTTAGATTAAATATTAGTCTGTACTCAGTGTCATAATGAAGGTGACCAAAAGTTCTGCTTTGGGAGGAAAGCCTTGGTTTCCAATTTGTGTCTCTTGTGATCTGTTACTTGCACAAACACTCTTCACAGGTGCTGGGCCTCCTCCTTTTTTCCTCCCAGCTGCTTTCACTATTCTCTCTCTCTCTCTCTCTCTCTCTCTCTCTCTCTCTCTCTCTCTCTCTCTCTCTCTCTGACTGGCTCGCAGGGCTCTCTCCTTCCTGCAAGGTCATATTTACAGTCTTACATTTCCAGGGGATGGGGGGGTCCGTTCCTGATTGGTCTACCTTTCCGAAACAAGACACCAGATTCTAAACCCTGTTATGCCCTCCTGGGGGACTCCTCTCCCCCAACCCACCCCACAGCTGCAAGCACAGATTAACCCTCTTTCCGAGTGAGAGGAATCTGGTCTCCTTGTCTGGGAGGGCAGCAGGAAAAAGAGGACTCACCTTTTGTCGGAACAGGACACCCCCTGCTGGAAGGCCAGAGTTATAGCACCTCTGAGAAGTGTTCCCTTCTCAAGTCTGTGACTGTCCCCTTTCTAGCCTGCAGCAGTTCTCACCAAGCCTAGTTTGTCTGAACTTGCCTCAGGGTGGTTTGCAAGAAAGCTGACCTCTTGCAAGGCAAAGCAGCTCTGACCTGTTTCAGGTAATCAACCTACAGAAATGAGGTTGGTCCTCTTCTGTTTCCTTTGCTTCCTCTTCCCGTGCAAAGCGCCTCTTTTTTGGGGATGGGGACAGTAAGCAGCTTTCAAGGCCTCCACCTCACCCTCCCCCACTCACTCAAGCTCCACCTTGAAGCAGTCGGCTGGGCCAGCTGGAGCGGAATTGCCCACAGGTCCTGGGAGCTTAGCATGGTCCCTGAGCCTGGCACTGCCCACTCTGATACCCCTTTCCAAGCTGAGCAATTCAGATACCCCAATTCAGATATGGGGGCAGAGGAGCCAAATGGACATACCTCGACCTAGTCCCATATTGGAGGTACATGGCATTCTCTTTGGGCACAGGGCCCAAAGAGAGAAGAGAAGGGAAAAGGAAAAGGAAAGAAAACAAAGATTAGGGGAGAGAGAATGAGAGACATGGAAGAGTTAGAAGCACTGAAAATCAGAAAAGAGAGAGATTAAGGAGATGTCAGCAGAAGCTGTGTGACCTGGGGCAAGTCTGTTCCCTCTCTGGCCTGTGTCTGTACCTTGGTACAATGAGCAACTGATTGGCTGGTTGCAAGAGCTCCCATAGCCCCCAAGAGCTTTGCTATGAGAATCAAAGAAGAAATAAAGACCGGGCTGCAAACATAGAGCCAGGGAGAGAAACGCCGGCACATAGTAAGGAGTAAAGGTGGGTGGTTCCAGCTGCCATTGACCCCAAAGTGAAGCAGGGAGGCAGGGAGGCAGTGAAGCAGTCTTGGCCTGGGCCACTCCGTCCCTTACCTGGCTGTGCACTGTCTTTCCGGAGCACAGTGAGGAGCCCCTCTCTCGTGGAGTCTGCAGCTGAGTGTGAGGATTTAAGTGAGCGGCAGGCTGGGTTTCAGGCACTGCTGATTCTATCTGAAAAACTGAAAGATTCCTGGAACTCATGTCAGAATTCAGAAAGGTGGGGGAAAGGGTGTGAGAAGAGGCCTCACCCACAGCTGAAAAGGAAGCGGGAGGGGAGGGCAGGACTTGCCGTGTGAGTATTGTGCTACAGAATGCCGCACGGTACTAAGGACCCGTGCCTGGCAGGCTGACTATCCCCAGAGATGCTCTCCCACAATGGAAACAGATGGACCTGTGGGTCTCCAGCCCCCAACTCAAGCAGGCTCCAGAGCCCACACTGTGGTCGTGGGCTGGGGGGAGGAAGGACAGCAGCTACAGGCTCGGCTGGCTGGGGAGGCAGAGCTGGATCCAAGGCTGCAAAGACTTCCCACCAGCACCAGAAGGAGACCACAAGCCTCAGTCCCACAGTCACTGAGCAGCTCCTCCCCCCAAGTCAGGCCTCTGGCACCATCCAGGACTAATGGCTTAGAGCTCCAGGTGAGCATGTACCACCCAGGTTGTCATCTGGACCCAAATATTCTATGAGCACCTACTTCATGCCAGGCACTGGATCAAGTCCTACAAACACAATAATAATGAAGGCATAGTCCCTTCCTTCAGTAAGCTTACAAATATAAATAAATACATGAAAATAAGCTTACTGTCTAATGGGGGAATCAAATCAGTGCAATGTCATGTCAAAAGGGAAGCAGGCTCTGAGGAAATAATGGGAAAAGCCACAGTGAGCTCACCACGGGATACTTCAGAGGAGATACCCAGATAAACAGTTCTAGAGCTCAGGAGAGAAAGATAACAGTAAGGAGAGTGATTTGGGAATTATCGGTCGTAGGTAGAAGCATAAAGCGTATGAGAGCTCCCAGAAGAGAAGAGAGCCATGATGGGAACTGGCGTGGCCAGCCTCTAATCAGGCCGTGACCCCTGCCAGCAGGCACCCACACCCACACATCAGACCAGAGTTGGCAGAGGTAATGGTCTGTCACTTCTGAGATTAGGTTATATTTAATAAAAATCCTGCGTGTTCTGTCTTGGGCTCTCTCCCATCTCTCCTGGCTGCCATGTTGGGAGCACCCTGATGGCAAGACCTGCGCAGCCAGGAGCCGGATCCTCCAGTCAGCAGCCAGCGAGGAACCTAAGGCCTGCTCACTCAACTGTGTGACAGAGCTTGGAAAAAAATCTCTCAGCTCCAGGCAAGTCTTGAGACAACTGCAGCCCAGCTGACAACTTAACCACCACCTCATGAGAAATTCCAAGCCAGGACCACCCAGCTTCCCTGCTCTTGGACTCCTGACTCTCAGACACCGTGAGACAACACATTTTCAAGCTGCTGAGTTTTAGAGTAATTTGTTATGCAGCAGTAGACAAGTAATAAATAACCCATCGAAGAGACAGAGCAGAAAATCCTAAAATATGAGCCATTTTAAGAATAAAGTAGCCATAATTAAAACAGTATTGTATTAATACACGTGCAGGCAAATCCAAAGAACAGAAGGGAGTGTCCAAAAATAGACCCAAACACATGCGGGAATTTAATATATGATAAAGGCGACATTCAGACTAGTGAGAAAAAAAGATTTATCAATAAATGATGTTGAGACAACTGTGTAGCTCTCTGAGGAAAAAGAAATGAAATTAGATCTGTGCCTTTCACACAATACACCAAAGCAAATGTCAGATGGATCAAAGATCTAAATATTTTTTAAGAACACATAAAACCTACAATAATTCTTTTATTTCTACATGGGAAAAAATTACATGAGCAAAGTCAAAGGAAAAAGGACAATTTATATAAAGTTCTAGGATAGACAAAACTAGGCTATAGTGATAGAAATCAAATCAGTGGTTGTCTGAGTACAGGGACACAAGGAAGCTTTCTAGGGTGATGGGAATGTTCTATATCTTGCTAGAGCTGATTTTTAAAAAGAAAAAATAAAGACAAACTGAGGACAAACCTGTAGATCTGATGTTTTAAAAAAGCCAGATCTTTCCATGAGAATTGATGGCCCTGGATCCTGAGCTGCCCCGAACCCCTTCCTTCTCCAGTGGCGACCTTTCCCCAGCCTCCCCTAAGCCTAGACGCTCAAGGCTGATTTCCTACGGCACCAGGGACTGTCTTCACAGAGGTGAGCTCTACACTAAATACAGTATTACCAGATGGAAGCACCCTCCAATCTTTGTCTCTGGGATGAGTTCATTGGTTGGTTGACTAGTTGGTTGATTGATTGGTTGGTAGATTAGTTGGTTTACAAATTGGGGAGATGAAAAATCGAGAGAGATTTCCCTATGGGCAAACTCTGAAAGGGAGAAGAAAATAAGGAACAAACTAAGAAAAGAGGGGAGAAAAAAACTAAGAAGAAAAAAAGGCTAAGGGTTTATACATTTGAAGAAGTATGGACCATGGTGAAATTTTATAAGACAAAAATGGGGAAAATAAGAAATAGGGAAGGTGGTATATGTACATCTCCCTGAGGGGAAGAAAAGAGTATGGAAAAGCAAGTTCTTGCTTTTACCATTTCAGAAGAACCCCCCCCCTCCAAGTAGCCACTGCCATTGGTAGCCATGGGGTAATGTAGAAAGACCTGGTTAGAGCCCAGAAGCAGGAAAGTTACCAACTTTACAGTGGCCACAGCAGAGTTACACCAGCCTAACTCCAAAGGTTACATTTTGTGGAAGACACATGTATATTTAAGCACAAAAGCAAAAAGTCCCATTGCAACATTTACAACCTCCCTCCAACTCACCCCCCACCCCCATATCTTAACATCTCACTAACTGGACAAGCAACAAACACATTTTTCAGGAGAGGAGTTAGCTTGTCAACGTGACTGTCTCCCCAATGTCCTCCTCTCGAGCTTCTCGTCTTATCCTCTGGTGGGCTCTAGCTCACAAAGGTGGCACACAACACGCTCCAATGAGCATCAGCAAGTGACCAATGGATCTGAGTACAAAAACATCCTTCCTCATATCCCATTTATGAGGTTTCCAGACTTGCCAAAAAAAAATAAATAAATAATAATAATAATAATGTATAGGACATCCAGTTAAATTTTAATCTGAGATACACAACTAATCTTTTAGTATAAATATGTCCCAAATATTACATACTAAAAGATATATTCATGGTTTATTTAAAATTCAGACTGTGTATCCTGTATTTTTTCTAGCAACCATACCCCTTTGCCCTAGTGATGATTCTCCAGAGAACAGTGACAACAAGTTTATTAATTGATCTGAAAAAATGTCAAAAATTGTAAAAATTTTACACATCACCCAGGAGAAAAGTGAAGACAAAACATCCTTTATAAAATAGATTTAAATGACACCAGTAATACATGAGTACATTCTCCTCATAACCATTTTAAAAATACAGATAAAGCACAAGTTCTTCATCATTAAGCCACCAGATCCCTGTACCCTTCCCAAAAGTAAACACAGTTAATAGTGTGTTTGTCTAGAATTTTTCTTTGCATTTGCATACATATAAGTATAGACTATGTAGATTTGTTTTGTATGTTTGTGTGTATTATACTGTAAACACATTGTTCTACAACTTGTTACATGTCAGTGTATATTTACCTCATTGTTTTTTTAAAGCTGTAAAAAAACACAGAATAAATAGTGCCCTAGATAAGCAGTTCCCAAAGTGTGGGGTGGGAACCCCACACCCCTTTCAGGGGTTCTATGAAGTCAAAATTATTTTCGTAATAACAGTAGGACATTATCTGTGTTTTACACCCTCACTCTCTCACAAACATACAGAAGAGTTTTCCAGAGGCTACTTGGCATGTAATGACATCATTGCCCTGACAGCTATGAAATGTGTATGTGTCTATTCTTATGTTTTCCAATTTTTTCTAAACAAGTAGATTTAAAGTTTAAATATATGCATTTTCAGAAGTTAACTCAGTTTCTTCTTGGATTTTTACCTGTTCTTCCTAGCTATCTTAAGTTATACCTGCTATAATCTCCATTCTATCTTCTGATAAATTTTTATTTTGGAATTCTGAAGTTTTCCCTGTACCTATCACAAGTAACTAGTATACTTTATCTTGTTTTGCAATAACATTTTTAAATGCTTTTTAAAAACTTTTAGGAATTTTATACTGTTATCTAAAATTGTTAAATTTAATATTTTACTCTAACACAGAAGACCCTTTATTTATAATACACTTATTCTTATATTCAAGGATTTATCATTGGCATAGGACAGATAGATTAGAAGATTTGTTTTTTCAAACCACAGCTGCACTGTCCATGGCTAAAAACACTACAGAAGATGAAATTGACATATCAGAGAGTTCTCTGACAAGCTGAAGGGAGGGATATACTCCAAAAACCTGCAAAAACTAAGAAACAAAATATGATAAAATCTATATTTCCCTTATCTATATGTATATTAATAGTTTAAATTATTATGGTATGGAACGGCACATTTTGAATAGTATTATAGCACTACTTAAGTTGCAGCATCATTTTGAGACCAATTATTCAGAGTTTAGAGAAAAAGGAATTGACAATTTTAAATGTAGATCTGATGAGCTCTCTGAAAGGCAAAAATTTTAGCTTTTCAAAACTAGAAATAAAAAAGTTACTGAAGCATCTTACAGGGTCAGTTATCGTATTGCATTAGCTGGAAAAGCCCACACAATGGCTGAGAGATATTAATAATAAAGCCTTATACGTTGACATCAGTGAATGCTTGCCGGATGAAAAGTCAGTGAAAGGAGGCCTTGAACTGCCACTTCACAACAATACAGACACTCACCAAAATTTAAGATGTAGCTGCAGACATGAAGGCTGAGTTCATCTCTTGTCTGAAGAATTGTACATTTGCCCCGACACAGGGACTTGTTGTTTTCTTATATTCATCCAGTATCAGCTCCAGCAAATCTTTAACATGAATACTTGGCAACAAACACAAGTGGCAGTGAAATTCTCAGTGTTGGCAAACATGTTTGACTCTCATGGTTTCTCCTGGAACAGTGGTTTTGGTATTTCAACCGACAACACAAAAGCAATGATGGGAAAAACTGCTGGCACTTAGTGCAAGTCAAGGCAATGGCACCAAACTGTCCAAGTAGGCATTCTATTCTTCCCTGCCACACGCCTGCAGTGAGGGGGGAAAGCCAGTTTCACTTCAGATTTTTTTTTACATCTTGATCCTTGAGAATGCA